TTTGGGGAAAATTGACATCTTTAATATGTAGATTCTTGCAATATATGAGCATGGTATGGTATGTCTCTCCATTTGTTTAGATCTTTGATTTCTGTCATCAGCACTGTATAGTTTTTGGCATTTAAGTTCCTTAAATTTTTTGTTAGATTTACATCTAAGTTTTTGAGTAATTATAAATGGCATTGTAGTTTTTATTTCAATGTTCTGTTCATTGCCAGTATATAGAAATGTGGTTGATTTGGGCATACTTGTTTTGTAACCTGCAACCTTGCTGAACTCACTTATTCTAGGAATTTTTTTGTAGATTCCTTGGAATTTTCTATGGAGATAGTCTTGTCCTTTCATCAAATGTTAACATGCTGTATATGCTTCACATTTTTAAAAGAAATGAACAAAACAGTTATAATTTCCTTCTTCTGCTTCCCCAGAGATAGTTATCACTATCATGAATTAAGTGCTTAGTGTTTTCATATGTCTTCTTGTACTTCTCCTGTTTTACATGTTTGAATATTCATGAATATTATATATTGTCCAGGTTTTAAAAGTTTATGTAAGCATGTACCCTTCTGCATTTGAGTTTTTTAGTTGACATTGTTTTGCCCCAGAATTTATCCCTGTTATTGAGTGCTGCCAAATATATTCATATAGCTACTGTGTAGTGTTCCACTGCATGAGTATATATTCTTCTGTTGGTGGACATGTAAGTTGCTTCCAATTTGTTGCTATTTGTTTTGTTTTTATTGATTTCTAAGAGTTCATTATATATTCCAGATTCTTATCTTTGTAGTTATTTGTGTTGCCAATATCTCCTCCTATACTTTGGCTTGTTTTTTAATTTTTTGGTGAGGTCATGTAGAAGTTAAGTCAGATGGATAAATCATTTCTTTTATGGTCTGATCTCTTGTGTGCCTCATTAGACCTAGTCCTACCCTGCGATCATAATATTATTATTCTTACTAAATCAACCTGGAATTGTTCTGTGCTATCAGATATGTGAGTCTAAAGGTCTAATTTTATTATTTTCCATTTGAGTAGCCAGTTTTCTCCAAATCATTTATCAATATCCCATTCTTTACTCATTGATTTCCAAAATGCTGTACTATCCAATTTCTTGATATGCTCTGGATTAGTTTCTGAGCTCTTCTGTTTGTCCCATTGCTATTTCTGTCTGTCCCTGCATCAATAAGTATCTTAGTCTCCTAATCTAGCCTAAGATAAGCCTTGATATCTGCTAGTGTGGATCCTCCTTGTTCTTCTTTTAAAGAATTACAGCTATTCATGGTTCTTTCCTCTTCATGATAAGTTTTAAGATCAGCTTGTCAAATTCCACATAAAATCTGCTGGGATTTTTATTGAAACTGACATTTTTAACTTTTTTGGTCTGTGATATCTCTCCAGTCACTCAAATCTTCAGTAGCCTTCAATATTCTTCATCTTGGGAGTGAACTTCTTTATCTTGAATGTCTTTAGCAGTTGATTGGATGTATCTCAGATTTCTGAGTTATTTCTTTTGTCCTGTCATTCACCCAGCATATAACTAATGATTAGTATTTCTTAACCTTTAGGTTTATCTAGATTTTAAAAGAATTAGACTGTATGAATGTATAAACTAACTTTTCAGGAATTCAAAAAAGACAAAATGCCATTTAGCAAGTTTGAATCTTCTTGAAGAACAGAATCTTCTAAATAGGAAGGCAAAGTGTATAATACCTTTCCTTCTTTTATTCTTTATTATTTTTGTGGAATATCTGGTCTGTTAGTCTGTATGAGTTGAGTGGTTTCTTTTGCATTTTATGTGCCTTGGGTAAATGAAGTCAATTTAAAAAGGAACTTAATCCCTCACCACAAAAAAGAAATGGTGATTATGTGACATGATGGAGATATTCGTTAATGCTGTGGTGGTAATCATTTTGCAGTATATAAGTGTATCAAATCAATAGGCTGCATACCTTAAAATTACAGTGTTATATCAACTGTAGCTCAGTAAAGCTGGAAAAAGTAAAAAATAAAATAAATTATTTTATTTAAATAAAGCTAGAAAAAAAAAATGTAGTCCTAGGATTATGGTGCTAATTTTTAGCACCAGGAGAACCACGCTGTGATTAAAAGTAAGTATACATTGCCATCCCCACTCAAGATTTACAATAGAGAGTGTTAGTAATTAAGTAATATGTATTACTTATAACTCCTATTGTAAAGTCCTAAAGCCATTCATAAGGCTTCCAAGCTACTACTATTCATTGAGCAGGTATATGCCTAAGCATATGAATAGACACAAAAACAGATTAAAATTTGTTTTAAGTCTGAATCTGTGGTTGTTGTTGGTAATTGGAGAGGCAGTGTAACATAATGATGGAGAATATGCACTTTGGAACCAGAAGCTGCCTGTTTCTAATCTTGGCTCTGTCACTTACAAGCAGTAAGTAAGGTAGTTAACTCTTCTGTACTTCCGTTTCCTCATCTGTAAAATGAGAATAATAGTAGCACCTACTGCATAGGTTTGTTATAAGGATTAAGTTAATTAATATACATAAAACCCTTAGAAGAGTCCCTGGGACATAGTAGGGGCTTCATTAGTGTTATTAATAAGACATTCTTATTAATAAGATATTCTTGTTGATCATTATCAGAAATTCTCTAACTCTAAGGATCTTACGTATATTGAGAATAATGTATGTAAATGCCTAATTCTATAGCTGGCATATGGCATGAACACAATAAAATGATACCTATATTATAACTGTTAAGTGTTCATTTTTCTTATCTTAATTCTTAATTCTTTTTTTTTTTTTAATTTTTTTTTTCAACGTTTATT